TCAGATATCCTCTTGTACAATTTGTTACATGCCCTTCAAGAAGAGGAGGAGAAAAAAGACCCAGTCACAGTATGGACTGAATGCTTTCATCCTACTACGCATATCCTTAGTACGGTAAATGAACATGCCTGGTAGAAATACAGATTTGTAAGCAGGTAGGACTTGCTTTGTCACAAAGAAATACTTTATGCTAGCTCATCTTGTTTCTGTGCATCACACTCATCCAGCTGCTGTAAACAAGTGACCAACAGGAAATACTTCAAGGAAATATTGAAGGCAGGCATTGAAATTTCTCTCCAGTTAATAGCAGCTGCCACATAAGTGAGAGTGCAACCTATGAAACCCAGTTCTGGAACTACTGCTCCTTCAGTAAACACTGATTAAAACACCTTGATAACAGGTTCTCCACCTGCAAAGCCCAGACAGGCTGGAGATCTACACCCCGTATCATTCCTTATATTCTGTTCTCCATATTCAGAAAGTTAAGGACAAACCTCAGCTACCTTTAAATTAATATTTCAAAAGCCCAATATAATGTGTGTCATCTAGATTTTATAATCAGATACAAGACAGGCCTGGAATGAGAATTACAGTTACTTTGGACCAGATATCAGAGAAACTTTCAAACCTTAATCATAAGTTGTGCTCTAGTAAGACAGAAATTTTGCAGCTGCCTAAGCAGTGGCAAAGCTCATTATACACTTCTCTGGTTTTATTATTTAAATCTGAAGTTTCCCCTATCTGAAGTTTCCCTAGCTAGTCACAGATCTGCTTCTTGTCACAGTTAACGCAGACCCGAAACCAAACCAGTGAGACATGGCTCGCAGGCATCACTGACCCCGCCGAGGTTCAGCACGCAATGCTGCAGCTCATCAAAGCACATGTGATTCAGGCTCCCCAGGTTTTACAGCGCTGCTCAATGGGAGTCACATGGATTCTCCAAACATGCTAGGAGTGGGTCTGAGAGCCTAACTCTCCCTCTCCTGCCTGAGGCCTGCCACTCCACATCAGATGCCAAGAAGAGTCTTAAGTTTTTCAATTCCAGCTGCCCATTGGAACAGTTTTAACAAAAGGCATGGAGAAACACTCTGCAGACTAGTTCCCTAAATCTCAGCTCAGAGATGTCACTGATAAAACATGAGTTTCAGGCTGAGCAAAGTAGACTCTGTTCCCTAGATGTTGCTAAGTGACATCATAATCACTTATTTCTGCAGAAATGCTGAAATGCAAGACAGACCACTGATCCTTGTTGAAAGAACAGCTGAAAGCACCTTCTTTTCACAGAACACTCTGGGGTTTGGGATCCCAAACACATATACGTATGCTACTTGCTTAAGTTTCCAAGAGAGCTCAGAGTGCAGACATCAGTGTATGCTGCTTCCCATTAGCTAGCTCAATTATATCTTCAAGGTCCTAAAAATGACCCACCAACACCCTCTCCTCCAAAGAAACTCAAAGTCCACTACAGATAGCATTTACTACCTACTACTACTATTGTAGTGGTTCACCAGCACTTCAGCCAGGGCAGAAGCAATTTACAACTCTTAACACATCTTCAACATAGCAATCAACTGCATGATTGGATCAACACATTAATAAAATCTATTCTTTAAAGTTAAAAGGGTGCTAAGCTAGCCTAGCTGTTGCCTGACACAAATATAGGTCCTCTCCATTACCAGAGAACAACTCAAACCAAAAAGAATACTATCTTGCAATTGATTCAATTATTGGTGTGCTAAACCAGCACAGCTTGTCAATTAGTAACAGTGGGCTACAGGAACTAGGAAAGAAGACAGGTAAGTGGTCACAACTATTAATACAACAGTAGCGTCATGTGGATGCATTATGAAATGTGACGTATTTAATCTATGTAATTTATCTTGTATATGTGCGGCATATTGAAATCAGTTAATCAAGAACCAGATCAGATTTATCACTTTCAGGGTGTGCGTGTAATAATTCAACCCTGAAGAAATGTTACAGTAAAGATTTTTGTAGGAAATCGCATTGCTCGGAACAACACTCTGGTGTATTATGAAATCTCGGCCAGCACAGCGTTGTCTAATTCAGGAAGTTCTTCTGTATTTCTCCCACAAGTTAAAGGGCCAGCTTCTAGCTGGAAGAGCCAGCTTCCTTTCAACTAATTTGTATCTCATCTATATCTCTGTAGTAGCAATCCACAGTTTGCTTGCAGTTAGCACAAGCTGGAATTTGGTTTGAGAGGCCTCCTGAAATGGTTTGGTAATTTGAAACAAAACTCTCTTACTCTATCAATCTCACTCTGAAAATGAGAATATCTACACAACTTCAGGTTAACCAAGAAGATATCAAATGTGTTGATACATCTCACCAATGTTAAGCATTTCTGGACAGAAGTGAAAAATCAAGTCAACTGCTTAGAAGGAAAAACATGGATTCAGGGTCCAGATTCCTGTTTCTCTCCTCCTCCCTCCCTAACCAAGATCATAAATTGCAGTCTAGGAGACACCTGCTCAGCAGCTAACTGTAGCTCCATAGGCCCCTAATCTTGCAGGTTTCTCCTCATTTGACCTGGAAATTCCTGCAGCTCGCAACTGCCAACAGAAAGCTGTACAAGTACTATACATGTCAACAAAATAGCTAGAGAAGTGTACATAAGCCCCTGAGAAAGCTCAGTCCAGAAAGCACGTTCAGCGTTCCTGTAGGATCCAGACCCTCATAAAATCTATCAGAGGAGAATGGACTACAAGAGTAACTGAGTGGTTAGAGTTCAGTCAGATCTACAGGAGAGCAAGGGATGGAATGCAGCTACCTACCTAAGACCTACCAGTCCTAGAAAAGTACTTGGATGGAGGTTTTGAAGGCAAAGCTCCTGTTTCTGAAGCCATGCAGCAGTGGGGCTAAGAGATATTTGGACTTGGATCTTGCAATGGCAGAAGCACCTGTCTATTGCTCAGACTTTAGCCATCTAAATTTCAAGAAAGGAAAGGAGACCAGGACTGCAGGTAAACCCTGTGGCATGTCTCCCCTCTAAACCTGGGCTGCTTGCTTTTAGTACACCTTGCCTGTCACACGGGGAGGGAACACACAGCAGAAGCGAGAGGGGAGATGGAAGAGGCAGGACAAGACTAAGGACTCGCTGAGTCCAGCTCAAGATGGTTAATTATGTTCAGCGACTGTCTGCACAATGCTCCAGTTTCAACTGCTTATTTCACTTTATGTTTTCACCTGACAGCCGAGACTTCTTTTTTACATCTTGGAGCCTCAGTGTCTGTCACAGGTTGGCAGGTGTCTCTGGATGACCAAGTTAGAAACCATGGGACTGAGTGAATTCACTGAGCAGATTGTAGCAAATCCAGCATAAGGGCTTTTACAGAAACAGATTCTTGATTTTTGGTTGAGGAAGTACAACCCTGACATACAGAAACTTTTCAATAAAGCAAAACTGCTATTTTTTCTTCCTGTCTGTTGAGATTTAAAGAAATTATTTCTGGGAGAAAATACAAGATGTAGCTGAAAACACAGGCAATAGCCCAATCTGTGCCATTAATCTGTGCTACAAATACCAACTTCTAAAACGTGTCTTGCAAAACAATACTAATTATTAATAATATTAAATACCACTTAATAAATTATTAATAATAATTTTAAATAAAAACTAACCTACTTAACTGATCAGAATTCATCTGCAGTTTTAATAATAAGATACCCATTTCTGTATGCACACTATACCCTGTGCAACATTAAAAACATGCATGCCAAAACCTAGCCATACGCTGTTCACGGGTAGCTCCCTTCTGATGAACAGTATACTTTGCTTAATTTGTGAGATCAGGTTGTATTTGCTCTATATATACATACACACATATTAAAAATATGACGGAAAATGGAGGAAAAGGGAAAAGTACTGAAAACCTCAGCAGCCTAACTTGCCTGTAACTTGAACATCCCAGTTAGGTGGCTAAAAAAATTTGGTGACACGAATCTAAGCACAGGTATGTTAAAACTTGCAGAATCTTATTTACTTATCTAATGCATACTTCCAAGGGCAAGCTGCAAGGCCACAGCTTCTGCCCCTGCTAAACAATTCAAGCTCTAGCAAACATTTGATGCAATCCTTGCTCAGCAAACATCTCAACCTATCACCTTTAGGTGCCTCATAACTGGCCAGGACAAAACTGGCTTATTACCAGCAGCCATCTTGCTAATTATTTATTAATTTGGTGAATACAGAGTGATACTATACTTCCCCAGGATAGATTACACTAAACCATACATACGAAGGACTGGATCTGCTGTGTGGGGTGCCACAAACCTGTCAAAAGAAGAGTGTGGCTAGCAGGAGGAGGGAGGTTCTCCTTCCCCTCTACACTGCCCTGGTGAGGCCTCATCTGGAGTACTGTGTCCAGTTCTGGGCTCCCCAGTTCAAGAAAGATGAAGAGCTACTGGAGAGAGTCCAGCGGAGGGCTACAAGGACGATGAGGGGACTGGAACATCTCCCCTATGAGGAGAGGCTGAGGAAGCTGGGCTTGTTCAGCCTGAAGAAGAGAAGGCTGCGAGGGGACCTTATAAATGCCTACAAATATCTGAAGGGTGGGTGTCAGGAGGATGGGGCCAAGCTCTTTTCAGCAATGCCCAGTGACAGGACAAGGGGCAATGGGCACAAACTGAAGCACAGGAAGTTCCGTCTGAACATGAGGAAGAACTTCTTCCCTCTGAGGGTGACGGAGCACTGGAACAGGCTGCCCAGGGAGGTTGTGGAGTCTCCTTCTCTGGAGATATTCAAGACCCGCCTGGACAAGGTCCTGTGCAGCCTGCTGTAGGTGACCCTGCTTGGGCAGGAGGGTTGGACTAGATGACCCACAGAGGTCCCTTCCAACCCCTACTATTCTGTGATTCTGTGATTCTGTGAAACGAGCAGGTGAAGTCAAAGAGTGAATTCCCATTAATGAATCCAAGATGCTCATCTTGAACTGGGAGCACCACCATTATTAAAGTTTTATATAAAATATGCAACTTACAGCATTGTGTGATCTTCTGGATGTTGGAAGTTATGCATTGGGCTAGTTGATTAGGATCCCCAAAACCCGCACCGTACGACATGGCTGAGTAGATTCGCTGCCAAGATCATCCGCGATGGGAATAAGTCAGACAGTCTCCACCTATTAAGGACACCTAAACCCCGCCCCAGAAAACAGAGTTATGTCTTGGTCACTGGTTTACAAAGGTCTTCATCATCTTAAAAAAAGAATACGTAGGAAAAGACTCAAGAAAACTCCACATACTAATGTTTAATCTCTCTGAAAACAAAGTACTTCAAAGATGGAATTTAAGGGAACACTTTCTTAAAAAAGTATTAAATAAGAATATGATATCCTTGTTGAATTTCCTACAATAACTCTACTAAGATTCTTAGTAATACACACAGCTTAAGATCTGCAATTACTCTACAGCAGCTACATCACAGAAAATATATCCTTTGTCAAACTTCTTACAATTTTTCCTAAGCAAAGTACACATTTTCATTTGTTGCCATCCCAGAAAAATGCTGTATGTTTAATCTGTTAATCTATCAATGCCAAATCCTCTGATGAATTATGTGCCAAACCAATTATGTGGTTATTTCCACATCGTGCATCACCCATGCCACCAATACATCCTAGTGTATATAAACCACTGGAAAAAAACCCAGCAGATACCACACCAGATATCAGAATGAAGGAGGCACCCAGTTCCCTCTGAACACAAATCATTTGTAGCAACTTCAGTTTTAGTTGTAATCCAGTTTCACCTGAATTCTACAAATTGCCACTTTATTGTGTTTCAGCTGCAGTGTTTCTCAATATGAACTCATTTTCAACCACTCGGGTATACAAATGCATTTTTAGGGAGGGGTTTTGCACCCAAAACTATAGTATCTTATCTAAAAAGGTCAAAATCTGACAACACAAATACTCACAAATACACTTGCCCTAAAAGCACACATATACAATCATGCAGCATGTCGGGATGTCTTAGTCTGCGTTCACCCATACAGACCAAATTTCAGCAGAAGCTCAAAGAAACTATTAATCTAAATTAACAAGAAATAGCTTAGGATACATGCGCAAATCAAAACCGGCATTTTATCCGTTCTGCAGTGAGAACGCAGACTAATCAAGCATACCTGCATCCAACACAATCCCACAATTTCATCCAGGCTGCGCTTAGTTTTAACTTCATCCTTTCCACTCTCCTGCATATCAGCTTCATGGGTTCAACATTTTAACCTCACCAGTTCCCTGCACTTCCACTGTTCAACCCAAACCACATGCCTTCCAGGCAATGTCCTCTTCTCCCGCCCTGTCAGCTTCTGGTTAACAGATACTGCTAAAACTCAATTTCAGGGAGAGAGAAAGCACATTTAAATGTTTAAATAGAAAAGGAGGAAATGAAAAGACCAACTAATTTGTCAACTGTGACACCAGCTGTCCTAACTCAAGTCCTTATGAACTTTAAAAAAAACAAAACAATTAATAGTACCTGTTGCCAAATACTTTTTTTTACCACCTTTGGAAATGCCTGTATTAATACAGTGCAGCAACACCCTGGTTGTTTTAAAACATGACTATTTTCCTATATTTATGATAAGAAATTATCTCTAGTGGAGCTGCCAAGCCGTTGCACTGGTTAGACACATCCCACCAGAACTCCACCAGGGACATAAGTACACAGACCAGGCTCATCCCTGCTGCCCTGCAGGTTACAGTGTCTATGCTGGACCAACACACTGCTGCTACTGTGAAGACAAACCCTTCACGACTTTGAAACGGCTGCAGCACCAGGGTCCCAAACCCTGCTTGGAGTCTTCGTGCCCCCTAGTAATGAGTGACCGGACTGCAGATGAGGCGATGGGGAGTGTATTTGCACTCTTCTACGCACTCGCTGCACAATCGCCCGCGAGTCATGCTAGCTCTCCGCAGTGTTTCTTCCTGCCTTTGTCTGTACCACATGCAGATTCAAGTTATTTTGGGTCACAGACTGAAGTGTGAAGTCAGCCAGCCAGCCAGCCTAAATCCCATTTCTCTGCTCCAAGGCTGGTATAACAACTTTCAATCTTTTTAGAAACTCTAGGCAATATTGCACTGAATTTGTATTGCAAGACCAAACCCATGCAAACTTTATAGTGAATGAATGGCTCTATGACTTGCTGTACTGACTAAGTAAGCAAATTCTATCTATTAAGCCGAAAATATAAATCGTAGGCATAAAATCCAAAGACACCACCTGAAAGAAGTTAGTTTGAAAAGAAGATTTCTCACAACTTCTGACTTTTTTATTTTTTAAAAGTTACAACTATTTCTAGACACATTAGTAGCATACTAATTACAATGCTAGCACTAGCTAAAAATATTTAGTTAAACATTATATTTGATGTCAAAAGTTAAACATTAAAATGCAGCAGCTCAGTAGAACAGATAGCAAGAGAACAAATTACCTTGTGTAGGGAGGCTACAAAACTAACTGAAATAGTCCTTCGCGATTGTTTTTTCTCCCTTCTTATTTGTATTCACCAGACAGCTGCCTGCAACACTGTTCTCAGCACCAGCATTACAATCAAGAGATATACACAGGATATTTCATCAAAGTCTTGACAAAGCAGTGACTGACTTTTTTTTTTTGTCTTGAAAATTTCTACAGTTAACTCTAAGTACCTTTAAAGAAGTTATACTGCACTACACTGACAAACGTGCAGATTGTACAATATGTAAGACTTTGAACTTTTTGACTTTCTAGCTGTATGGTTGGGCAGCCAAACACAACACATAATGAGAGGATGTTCAGATGACAGACTGCAAAGTCCACAGGATATAGCTTAGCTTTTCATCTGCACATGTAGATCTAATTGTTACAATTCTTTGCATCCACACATGTTTTAACTGAGATTTATAGTAAAGTTGTAGGACAGCAGTGTAAATTCACAGCTGTTTTACTCCATACAAATTCTTCCACCAGCAACACTATTCCTGAGCATGTTAATAACACAGGTTGGTGACAGGGCAAGATACTGGTCTGGGGAACACACAAAAAGACAGGTAAGGGGTCAGCCATCAGCTCTCATCGCTTCCCAGTCTTCACCACAAACTCCCCCGGTCAAGAAAAAACAAACTGAACCACACCAAAAGAAGGAAACTCTTGTATTTGTTTAGTATTTTTTTTTATGTCAGAAGTGTGAGCTCCTTCCTCATTCTAGTTCTTACAGCAATGCAAGTGTCTGAACCAAACACTTTGCTTGCTAGCGCTGTTACTCAGAGTCCTCTGAAAACACAGATAGCTGAGCCCCTGGGAAGTCAATGAGAGTTTTCCTAATGGCTTTGACAAGGTCAGGCTTTCAACTACCAGGTAACAAAACAGACTCGTGCACCAAGCATTTCCTTCCATACCAAGGTGATAGAAGCATTCATCAAGACTCTGGATTTCCACAGAAATTACCCCTTTACACTTCCACAACAAACATTTCAGTACTCCACCGTGACATATTTTGGTATTATTGCCTGTGTAACTTTTCAAATGGGGAATATGTTAACCTGCTGCAGTTGTGGGAAGTACACTTTTCATTCAAACTGGAATAGAGCTGCATCTGTGGCAGTCTTCAGTTCCTCTAAAAGTTTCAGTTGGGTGTGGGCTTTTGAGTGTACCTCTTATTTTCCGCTCCCCATCTGACTTTGAATGGGAGTGTATCTACCAGCAACTCGGCTTGTCAAGTTACTGGAGCAAGTCCGAAGAACCGAATCTACCAGCACTAATGAAATAAAGAATCAGAACACTTCATCAGCACTCACTGAAGCAAGACCTCTCTATGCATCCAAGAAGTTTAAAAAATTCAAAGGATTACTATGTATTTTTCCTAATTCTGCATTAACGGGTTCCTGCATCACACTGTTACTCCATAACCAAGCAAAAAATGAACCTCAGTATCCACTTGTTTTCTGGAAAGGTGTTGGTCAGGCATAGAAAAAATCCACTTGTCCCTGGCCTATTTCCAGTCAGACTGCTGCCAAACATGGAGACAAGAAAGTGACAACTGCACAACGGAGCAGCTCCCCAGTGCCATCCTTGAAAGCTCTATTGGGTAAAAATGATGCGACATGACAAGCACAGCACATGTTCAATCTTGGCAGCAGTCGCCTAAATATCCTGGAGGTTCCAGTCAGCTACAGTCAATAAGCACCTAATGTGTTTTGTATTTTCCCATTTAGACATTCTAAGAGTGTTCCTTCTTCTATAAAACTAGCCCACATACAACATTAGAATAAGAACACTTAACTGGTAATTTTACTGTTTAAGCAATGCTTTAGCATCAGGACCTAAAAATGTTTTCATGGATCCTCAATTTTCAGAAAGCAAAAAGTACATGCTGTATTCCATAGAAATGCTTGAAAATTTACAGCTGATCTGAATTAGGATTTTATGCCTTTAAATATCCAGAGACAAGTCATGAGGCTTCCTTGTATGTGGGGGGTTTTTTCTATGCTAAATAAAGGTCACAGAAACAAAGCTTCTCCCAAACAACTCCTAAATGTGACTTCCTTTGTAAACTATTGCCAAAAAAAAGTGCAAAATCCTTCAAGCAGGGTGAAAACACAGGCAAAAATTACAAACTGCAGAAAGAGTCTGACAAAAAAAAGATTGCAGCCAGCCACAACGCTAGCTACAGAAAATTAGTATCATGGTAACAGCCATGATTAGTAAGATTTCTGCAACGTAGCATTGCTCAGTCTATTTCACCTCTGTAGGTTTTACCACCCAAGCACTGAGATGAGACAAGGCGCATCTACGGAGTGACTCTGGCACCTACCTAAGGCAACCCAAAACACATTAGCATCTTCATCCAGCATCTGCTGCTGGCTTTAGCAGTAACTCTGCAGCAGGTAAAATTAATCTTAAAAAAAAATGCTCTTGGAATGAAGGGCAGACTGCATGCTGTAAGATAAGTACTCCCTGCTACAGCACCTGAGGGATTCTTATAACCTCACAACAACCGACTTAGTAATGTACAGGTGAATATTAAATCTGTCACTGTTTTCTCTGGTGAGGATGAGGGAGGTTAAGATTTTTAAGTATTTATCTATTCTTTCCCCTTATACTTAGGCTAAAATATTTAGCGACAGAGATGATATTTTCC